GTCTTGAGAACCTGTTTATATATTTATATATTTTCGGCTTCTTGGTTATCGGGTCGCTCTTTATTATATTACTTACCATTTATTTAATTGGAGCCAAATTGGGTATCAACATTGACTATAGAAGATTTCAAAATTATTATTATTATTCTTTTGAGTAATTTGAGTACAAAAAATTTCAAAATTATTATTATTATTCTTTTAATTAATTTGAGTACAAAAGTTTCAAAATTATTATTATTTTTTAGTTATTGTGAAAATTATTGTTATTATTATTTTAAGTAATTTGAGTACAGAAGATTTCAAAATTATTAATATTATTTAGTTACTGTAAAAAGAAATTTTATAGGCATAAAATTCCACGCTTTATGTAGATTTATCAATTTTACAAATAAAGTGGAATTTATTTTATATTGAATGGAGACTAAGACAATTTTGAAAAAAAAAATAAAATTGTCTATTTCCATTATTATCCTCTTGATTTTTGAAATAATGCATTTGTAATTTGATTTAATTATTATAAAATTTTGAAAGTTATGGAAAAAAATTAAAGAGATGAATGTCAATTGATTAGAAATTCTTAAACCATTTTGAATTTCGTGCAAATAGAAACCTAGAAAATGGAAATTCATTATGATTTTGTAATTTTCAAGAGGTTTGTTAATTTTAAAGTGGCACAAAATCCTTCATTTAGGATATGGATAGAAGCATGTGATTAGATATTTACTAAATTCAATTTGAACAAAATCCTTTATATTAGGAAGAAATTTTGAATTAAACCCAATTTTATGGCGACTAAAATGTGAAGGGATTTTGAATTCCAAATTTTCAATTCAAGTTCTAAGGAAAATTTTTCGGCAATCTGATTGTTTTGAATAAAAAAACAATCAAATTTTTTTAAATCGAATTTATAGGTAAGTTGTAAATTTTTCTCGTCTATTTAAAAATATATGTGAATAATAAGTATAATTATAAAGTTTATATTATTTCATTAATTAGATGATTTTGTTTGTATATAAAATATTCAAATCAAAAAATTGAAGTGGTTGAGTAATATATTAAACTATGAATAACTGACTATTTCATTTACGTCGCCAAAGTTAATGTTGACTCGTAAGTTATGAATAATTACTTATTTGACTTATGAATTTGGAACTCAAATTTAGACTACACATTAAATTACAAATTTTTTAGTTTATTAACCAATGTTTCTTCAAATCTTATGGTAACATATCAATAAAAATAAAATTGAATTAGGTAGAAATAAAATAATTGATTGAAAATTTTGGAAAATTTTAATCAATAGATTTAGATCAATTATTGATTTCACATTAACTTAAATAAAATATTACGTATGCATGTAAATTATTCGCACTAAATATTTACTAATAATTACCAAATTATTGCTATTGATTTTTGTAGAAATCAAATAGCCCATCTCAGTTTTTTTTTTTATTTATATATATATATATATACCAAAAATAATTTAAAGAATCCATATAAATAGAGATTCTTTCCAAAAATTAAAAAGGTGTTGTATTGAGATATTTATTGGCATTTAGTTAAAACTTTTTTAATTATGCTATTTTTAGTATGTAATTAATGATTTTGGCGGGAAATCGTTTCTAAATTTGTAAAAGGTTATTCTTTTTGTATAGTGATAGTTGTATGATATTATTAATTACAAAATTAAAAGTAGAGAAGTACATTTATTTTCGAGTTCAAAGGAATTGATCTCGAGTTAACCAAACAATTTGAAAAAGTTTGTCTACTAAATCATTCAAACATGAATGAACTTGAAATTTGAAGAACAATTGAGTGAACGTGTGAACGAGCTCAAATATAATTTTTCGCTCGAAAAATAAATAAACAGACACAAACGTTGTTCGAACATAATCGAACACAAGCTAAAAAATGCTTAAGTTCAACTCGTTTGTTTACTAAATCTCATTTATAAAGCCAAGCCCAAGACTAAGCCTAACCCCAAGTTGCAGAGCAAAAACTAAGCCCATTCATGCGCACACCGCCTCCGCCACTCTCTCCCCTAAACCCCTGCTCTCTCCGTGGCCGGAAACAAATCGCCGTACACACTTCTCTCACAGTAAACTCAAAATTTATGCAAGTAATCGATGGGTACTAATGGCAGAAAAACGGAAATGGAAGTGGAAAGCGTGTTCGTAGGAGCAGGTTGCAACAGAATAGTCAACAACGTTTCGTGGGGCGCCTGTGATTTGCTCTCCTTTGGCGCTCAAAACGCCGTCGCCATTTTCTGCCCCAAGGTCTCACCATATTTATCAGTATTAACTCCTTTTTTGTTGTTTCAGTTTTAACTTTTCATTTGTAAGGGCTCGCCTAGTTACTGCTTGTCTTTCCCCTTTTTCGGTTTGTTTCAATAGACAGCGCAAATTCTGACTACACTTCCGGGGCACAAAGCGTCTGTAAACTGCACGCAGTGGTTGCCCAGCAGCAAGTTTGCGTTTAAAGGTTCGATCTTTACATGTGGTTCGACTTGTCGAATGTTCACTTTATTTGTATTCATATTTAGGATTGAGGACTGTTGGGTATTGTTCATTTTGTAATTTGATGAGGATAGTGGGGTGTTTATATAATTTTTTTTTTTTCAGCTACGAATTTGGAGAGGCATTATCTTCTGTCTGGAGATGCTGATGGAGCTATCTTTTTGTGGGAGTTTTCTCTTTCTGCTAAGAAGGTGCTTCTTAGAGATACCCATAATGTATCCTATTTCAAGTCGTGTGGATTTTGACTTGCTTGTTGTTTGCTAGTATGACACATTGATAACCGAGAACATCATCGGCCAGAGTTGTGCTTCAGTTCTACATTTATTCTGTATGCCGATAATCAGTTGTGTTTTTTTTACAGTGGAGGAATGTTCTACAAGTACCAGACAAACATAAGAAAGGTGTTACATGTATTTCGGCAATAATGTTGTCCCAAACAGATGCTTTATTCGCATCATCTTCTTCCGATGGTATAGTGAGCTTGTGGGAACTAATCCTACCATCCACCTCTGGAGGTAATTTTTGTTGTCGAGCATCCCATGATTTTGCTAATTGAATGTGTTTATTTGGATATCGAAATTGAATTTAACTGCAAGAGTGAGAAAAAATATATTCTTTCGATTCTCTGGAGTGGTCAACATCCAATATGACAATATCCCTACTTTCTTATTTTTGTAAAAAGCTTAAAGATCCTTTTCCATGGTTATGGTTGTGTTCGTGTATGACATGAAGTGTATCTTGTCCGAGGCTGAACCAACTGTTGGTCTTTGAGAAAATTATTTTAAAATTAGGAGCTACAGTTTTACAATATTGTTGAGTTCAGATTTATCACACATTGTCTCGGTGGAAATTTTGTGAAAATTTTTAATTTGATATTTTATCTTTGATTTCTATTAACATATCATTTTGAATGTCTTAGGTGAGTGCGAATTGTCTTGCTTGGACACCTTATATGTCAGTAAAAAACCTATGGTTGCTCTCTCACTTACGGATTTGCCTGGAAACAGCGGGCACCTAGCTCTAGCCATGGGCGGGTTGGATAATAAAATTCACATTTACAGTGGCCATAGAGCAGGAAAGGTATGTATCATCCGATTCAACTCTTTTTTTTTTCACATTCACTGTGGTAATTTCATTTTTCATTTTGATTAAATGAGTGAAATCGTTTTTTTTTTCTTTTTTTTTTTTTAAAAAATTATACTGCCACAGTTCGTACATGCCTGTGAATTGAAAGGGCACACAGATTGGATTCGCAGTCTTGATTTCTCATTTCCTTTACACGAAAATGGCGAAATACCCACTCTTCTTCTTGTGAGTTCATCTCAAGACAAAGGGATACGCATATGGAAGATCGCTTTACTTTCTCTATCTAGTAACCAAAATACAGAAACCACCTTGTGTTCTTACATCAAAGGCCCGATATTTTCGGCTGGGCTGTCTTCTTACCAAATATCTCTAGAGTCCCTTCTCATTGGTCATGAAGACTGGGTGTACTCAGTTCAATGGCAGCCTCCTCAAAGCTTGTCTATTGATGGGTCTGATTTTATACATCAGCCTCAGAGCATTTTATCTGCGTCCATGGACAAGACGATGATGATTTGGCAGCCTGAAAAGACAACTGGTATATGGATGAACATGGTGACTGTTGGCGAGTTAAGCCACTGTGCACTGGGGTTTTATGGCGGCCATTGGAGCCCGAGTGGGAGCTCGATTTTAGCACATGGGTATGGAGGGTCTTTTCATATGTGGAAAAATGTGGGCACTGATTTTGATGATTGGAAGCCACAGAAAGTCCCGTCTGGACACTTTGCGGCAGTTTTGGATATTTCGTGGGCCAGGGAGGGGGAATATTTGCTGTCCGTTAGTCATGATCAAGTAAGATGCATATTGGTTCAGTTAAGATTGTTTTTTCCCTTAAAAAATGAGCTTGTGGTTAGTGTAATTACCAAAGGCATCATTTTTAGTATTAAAAACATAGTAGAGACCAAAAAAAGTACGTTTTCTCACACACAAATCTAAAAAGTTCCTATGTTCATTTGCAGACATCAAGAGTATTTTCTGCATGGCGTAATGAATCTTCTCCGGATAATACAGAGTCCTGGCATGAAATTGCAAGGCCTCAAGTTCACGGACATGACATTAATTGTGTGTCTATAATAAGGGGAAAGGGGAATCATCGATTTGTGAGCGGGGCCGAGGAGAAAGTCGCAAGAGTGTTTGAAGCTCCTCTTTCCTTTCTGAAGACATTAAATCACGCCACTTCACAGAAATCTGACTTCGGCGATGACCTACCAGCAAATGTTCAAATTCTTGGTGCAAATATGTCGGCTCTAGGCCTATCACAGAAGCCTATATACGTTAAAGGTGAGCTTAACCTTTTTTTTCCCTTTTTATTCAAGGAAAATGTTTTTCTCACTGACATGCTAGTAATACGTGGGAGGCGCTTTGAGGTGACAAGGAGGCATATGCTTTTTATTTTTTAAAACATTAATACTTCCATACTTTGCTTTCTCCACTTATGTTTACTCTCATATTAAAAAAATGCATAAATTTATCTGTTTAGTAGTTTTTTGTGTAACAATGTCTGCTTCCACCTTCGTTCTTTAAATGTTTCTTTCATTTGTAGCACATCAATATGCTTTGAAAGTTTTCGTGTTACAGAAATTTTATTAATTTCAAAATTTTAATTGTCTAACCTTCTCTCAGCATCATCCGAGTCTAAAGAAAGAAGTACTAATGAAGGCGTCGACACCCTTGAAACGATTCCGGAAGCAGTTCCGGTGGTGTTAACCGAGCCACCTATTGAGGAGCAACTTGCGTGGCATACCCTTTGGCCCGAGTCACACAAGCTTTACGGCCATGGGAATGAACTATTTTCTGTGTGTTGTGATCATGACGGGAAATTAGTTGCCTCATCCTGCAAGGTACATTTTCATTTGTTACCTTGTTTGTATTTTTAATAAATTTTAGTGTTTTTGTGCAAGTGTTCGAGTTTATGATTTGTTTTCTGTGGAAAGTTCAAAGTTGAGGGTGTGCTGGCTTGAGCTGAGCCTTCATTTTCTTCATTTCATAATTAAATGTTGATTGTAGAGAAGCAGTTCATACGTGACGTTATGAATGAGTAACTAGTGAATATTTTGGAGAAATGCGTATTAATGTTTTCTTCTTTTTGATTAGTGTACTGTAATTTAGACAAATGAGAATAATTTAAAATTATTGAGACACTTTTGAAGGCTTTAACGAATGTTGAGGTACACTCACAGGCACAGCTGGCTTCTGTTGCTGAGATATGGCTATGGCAAGTCGGGTCTTGGAAGGCTGTTGGGCGTTTACATTCACACACTTTAACTGTCACACAGTTGGAGTTCTCTTACGACAACAAATTTCTTCTGTCCGTCTCTAGGGACCGCCATTTCTCTATTTTCTCGATTATGTACTCAGGTATAATGAATATCGCAATTCTCAGTTTCTCGAATATAATTGACCAAAAACATTTAAATACCTAAAATAAACCACCCTCCTTTCGAATTACGAATATTCGTCCTTCATACCGGTCTTTCAACTATTTAGCTGCCAAATAACTAATGGAGTATATATAATCTCTTGCACACCAGAAACAGATGAAATCAGCCACCAGCTCGTGATGAAAAAAGAAGCCCACAAAAGAATCATATGGGCCTGCTCTTGGAACCCGTTTGGTCACGAATTCGCCACCGGCTCGAGGGACAAAACCGTAAAAATATGGCGATTGGAAAACGGGTCGTCCGTGAAGCTACTCGCAACTCTACCTACGTTCAAAAGCAGTGTAACTGCACTATCGTGGCTGGGCCTCGACAGGCAAACGAATCTTGGGCTTCTTGCTGTAGGGATGGAAAGTGGGCTCATAGAGCTTTGGAGCCTTTCTAACCCTATAGATGAAAATATCAGCTCCGTGGTTGTACCTAATGCTGCACTTGTTGTACGGTTGGACCCATTTATGTGCCACGTGTCGTCAGTTCAGCGGCTGAGGTGGAAAAACGAGGCTAAGGTTGGGGATTGTACGAGCATGCAGCTTGCGTCCTGTGGGGATGATCATTGTGTGAGGGTATATCAAGTTAGTGTTTAGTGTATTTTTGATAGTTTGATGTTTGATTAATTATAGAAAAAAAAATAAAAAAATGAGGGTGAATTAGTATAATTGTGGTAGCAACAAATATTATGTTGGCTTTTATGTTGTTTCTGTAAGTTTTTACTTTGGGCCTAACGAATGGTTTCTCGGCACCTTGGGCCTAAATTGAGGTTGTGCCTTAGCCTTGACCTTGGATACGAACGTGCCTTTATTCCGCTTTTAATCTTTATGTTTGAAAACCAATAAAAAAGATTCTGAGTATTAAAATGTTCTTATAATTTAAGTTAGGTAAAATATTTTGTAATTTAATTGTACTGACATGTATGGTGAAAGCTAAGATTTAATCTGAAATATTAAACATTAATTTAAAATTACTCATCTCAAAATAATAATAATAATAATAAAAAAAAGATGATGATGATGTATATAATAACGTCATCATTATATATGAAGGGAATCTGTTATCAGTCATACCAAAAGGATGGGCCATATAAATCCATGATATGGTTACATTTACCCAGAAAAATGACGTTGTGTCTTTTGTAAGACCATGTGCAGGGATATTGCCAATATTGTGAGCTAACCCAAACCTGTTAAAATTTGGGAGGCAAAGACAAGGAAAAAGTAAAGGGTGTTACTAAATATCGTCTCTTTGTTAATAAATATCGCTCCCTAAAATGAAAGTTTTACCTTTTTTTAATTTTTAAAATAATTTTTTTTTTATGCTGGTCGGCCGCTAATTGCAGCAGCAACTCGCTCGGCCGGCGAGGTAAGGCAACCGCCTCTCGCCCAACCGGCCTAAGGCTGGACCGACCACTCCTAAGGTCGGCCTTCTTTGGCGGCCGGCCTTTCCCTCTCCGGCTGCAGTTGGCCCAATTTTTTTTTTTATATAATTTAAATATTTTAGAAAATATATAATTGTTTATTATTATTAAATATTAGAGAAATCGATTAGTAATTATCAATGCAAATTGCTACAACATTTATAGACATTTATTGCCTTTCATTGAATTTTCTCATTTAACGTGGGATAATTGCAAATCAACGTGGGACTAAATGATCTATGTTTTAACACGCTTTCACTATGTATGTCAAGATGAATATCACGTTATCATTAATTAAACTTATTATTATCTTAAATTGTTAAATGATTAAATTTAACTAAATGAACATGAAATATGGAAAACATTATGGGCTTTTATAAAATAAAAGAAAATGCACTTATCATCCCACTTTCATTTTTTCTTTTTGTTAGTAAAATAAAAAAATATTTAAATATTATAGATATATATAAGTTACTATTATTTAGTTTAAGTACTTGAATGTTTTAAATTTTCTTAATATTTAATAACAAAATTTTATATATAAGTTTTATCATATAAAATATTATATATATGTTTAAAAGTATTAAAAATAAAATATTGGTCCAATCGGTTCAATCATTGGTCGAACCAGTGAACCATTGAACCAGTAGCTAGACCGATTCGATGACCGCTTTGATTTTCAGAATCTTGGTTAATTAATATATTATATATATATATTAGTGAAATCAAATTAGTATTGTAATATAATTAGGCCACACGAGTTTATCTTGATTTTTCTTATAATCAAAATTTTATTTATTATATAGATTATATTAGAATTTAGATATTATGTTATAAATTAGAATTTATTATCTTATAGTTAGAATTTAGAATATATTATATTATAAATTATAATTAATTATCTTATAGAATTTTATTATTATTATGTTAGAACTTATAAATTATTATGTTATATAACATAATACTAATTATCTGTAACAAAATACTAATGAGTGATGTTATTAAAAATTGTAGTTCATTTTTTTTTTCTTAAATCCGCTCCTTTTCAACTCGGTAATAAATTTCAAAATACAAAATAATATTCTGACTTAAATTTGAAATTCATAAATACCAATTTAAATAACAAATTGAACGAAAAAATCAGATTCTGTTACATCAATTAATTGAGACCGATTATATCGGTATGATTAAACCGAATTTTATGACAAGATTGTTTGACACTTTTCTAAGAGTTATATGATTCGTGTGAATATTATATTAGGAAAAGCATTCAAGTTCATGTTTAATTGAAGTACATGAAAATGTCTTGCCGTTGACTTTCATTCTCTATTGGACTTGTATTTAATCGAATCAATTTTATCACTCCCCCTAAAAGACAACTTTGCATACTATAATAATAGTTTTTTTGGCCCGCTCGATAGCTTCTTATGAAATAGTAGTAATAAATTCTAATTTATAAGATACTAATTAGAAGGTATAACACCGTAATAATTTCAAACTTTTAACATAGTAGTACTAAATATTACTTCATAAAACAATCAATTCTAATTCTATACCATAATAATTTCTAACTTCTAACATAATAGTAGTAAATATACTTCATAAAACAATCAATTCTAATTCTATACCATAATAATTTCTAACTTCTAACATAATAGTAATGAATTCAAATTTATAAGACAATCAATTCTAATTCTATACCATAATAATATCTAACTTCTAACATAATAGTAATAAATTTTAATATATAAGATAATCAATTCAGATATATAATATAATAATTTATACTAATATAAATTTTTTCAAACTAGTATCATTTCTAATTTACAATATTATACTAATATCATTTTTTTAGCTGTATTTGTTGTTATTTCATTTTATCCTCAACAAGTTCATAACAAACATAACTCAAAATTAACGTATAAACACGACCGAATATCATAAAATATAAATAATATAATGAATGTCATCAATCACAAACATAAGTCGAATATCGTAATATATCAAAATCCAGCTCCATTACGAATATCACGCCCTGCTCTGGTAGTGATCATCCCATTCTTGAACCGTCCCATCTCGGTATCTCTCCCAACAATAACAAATAAGTGGTAATGTAAACTTAGAAGACATATTCACACGAATGAAGTGTTTGTAAGAACCAAGATGACCTATGACAATCTCGCGTCTAGGTCGTGTAGCCGTGGATGGTGCGTGAGGCGGCAATATTGTCGTACTAAACTAGTCGATATTGTTATTTTTTGGACCACACACAGCCTAACAACACGAAAACCGCAATCGGCTATAACTTCCATCCACTGCTCCTCGTCACAAGCACCCCCGTCCCATCTTATCCGATCGAGTGTGGCGTTCCCACCATTGTAATGGCGTCACAACTATTGCATGATCATGCGTTCCTTCTCATCTTCGAGTGACACCTGCAATATATTACGATGTATGTTAATAATTTTACAAAATAATCAATTATAATTTCTAACATAATAATAATATTTTGTAATTTATTATATAATCAATTCTAACTTCTAACATAATATCAGTAAATTATACTTGATAAGATAATGTATTCTAATCTATAACAAAATAATTTCCAACTTCTAACATTTTATCAGTATCCTAATGAGGCCAACATTGGCTGGCCGAAAAATATCGGTCGTCGCATGACCGGTCTTGTTGGATGACATTATTTCGCAGGAATTATTCGGAGGTCATTTCGGAATTTTTCGGAGCTCGGTCCGGCCGATAAATAGATCGGAAGGTGGGACATTCTTTTTTTTTTAAAAAAAAAAAAAGAGTAAAGGGCAAAACTGTCTTTAAAGAGCGGTACATAGTAACAAGGGTCAATGTTTAGTAATTCAGAAAATTAAAACAAATTCTGGTGTATATTATAATATCAGCGAGGATATTGGGCAAACTTTAAGACAAACTTTAGCGGTGACCCAACCTAGTGGGTCACCAATTAAAATAAATAAATAAATAAATAAAGGAAAGGTCGAGAAAATTGAGCGACCCAGGTCACAATGTGACCTTGGGTCGCAACCTGTGTAGTGTATGAAAATGAGACACTTGTTCTATTTTGATTGGATAATTGTATTTTTTTGTTTTAAAAAACATAAAAATGATATTAAAATTCGTATTTTTTCATTCTCTACAAATAGAGAACACACTTGATATATTTTAAAATAAAATTATAATTTTAAATGAATTAAATTAGAATAAAAGAGTAGGAGAAACATCGATTGAAAATAAGATTCTCTTTTTTTTTCAAGATTTATAAAATGAGAAAATAAAAAAAAAAATCATAAAAATTCTATTTACTCCATTTCGCTTTTTATTTCTACACGTAACACAATTGAAACATAAAAATTAGTTATTATTATTAATATTATTATTATTATTATTATTATTATTATTATTATTATTCTAATAAAATTTTTATTAATTTATTAACATATTTCAAGCTACCATTAAATGATATTTTATTTATTATATTTTTATCTTGTGTTCATACACAATATCATATCTCACATTTTCTTTTGGTTAATTTCTTCATCTGTATCTTCGGGTGAAACAAGATTTAAAAAAAAAATGTTAAAATAAAAAAAAAAATTGGAATAGTAAAAAAAAATAGATACAATAGCAAAAATTTATTAAAAATAATTATGATCAACTGAAAATATAAAATAGAAAAATAAAATTAGAAAAAAAAAAAGATCCTTGAAATTTGGATTATGATCAACTGAAAAATTATTATGAAATTAAGACTATATTTAAACAAACATATCTAAATTTAAATAACCTACATATTAGTATAACTATACAACCAAATTTAATGACAACGAAATATTAAATTAGTGTTGTGAAATTCTTAGATACGTATTTTGATGATATGCTAATGAATTAATTTATGGAAAAATATTTAATTAATGATCATAAAATACTGAATGAATATAAATTTTTATGTTATATACATGATCCATATTCTATATATTTTTGATAAATTATTAAGAAAACTAATACTAGTACTTATTCTTAATTGATGCGTCCCACTAATTCTAATATATTTATTGTTAATTTATAAAGAAAAAAAAATTGTGTACAATAATGTGCATGTCACTAATGTGCATCATTACGGAATCTAATGGCTAATAATTTTTA